TACAAATATTGAGTACAGTTAACTCCATTAAATATAAGCTTCTGCTCGCCTTTACCAAGAGGATCAACATCTCCGTAGGGGTGTTCATGGTTCGGTTTGGATCGGTTTTTCCCTAAAAAGCAACCAAACCAAGTAAGTCAGTTTTTTAAATATTAGAACCAAACCAAACCAATTAAGTCGGTTTTTCTCGATTCGGTTTATGTCGGTTTTTCGGTTTTTTCGGTTATTTGTCGGTTTTTTTTTAAATATAAGACATACACTACCAAATACATATTCCGGCGACCACATTTTCAATGTAACACTATCAAATCAATTGCCCTTTGAGAAATCTATTATTTACCAAGATATATTGATGATAATTGAATCAAATAGTGATGAATAATTTAAGGACTCAATTAAAAATATGTTATTTTTAACACGAAAGATTCTTACACTAAACAAAAGAAAACTACCAATCAAACTAGAATGTAAAGGTAAAGAACTATATTAAAAGTGCAAACTATTAACATTTACCATAAATTTTTTGAAAACTTTGTATAACAATATACATATTTATAGGTGTAATAATAAATTTGAAATAGCTACTCCTATAGTCGGTTTGGTTCGATTTTTTTCTGATTAAAAACCAAAACCAAACAAAACAAAAAAGTATCGGTTTTTTTGGTCGATTTTGTTTGGTTTTCGATTTGGTTCGGTTTTTGGGTTTTTATAAACACCCCTACATCTCCGTATGCATTTAACTAATTCCGAAATAATCGAACTCCGTTACAATCGTCATTCAATTGAAAGAATCTCCATTTCAGAACCAAAGGTGAGATATAGGAGGAAGTACATGTAACTAGTTGCGAAATGTGACAATATATAGAGGATGCCGAATGTGGATGCTCTTTCAATTAGATGAGATAAAAAAAAAAAACAAAGTAGGCTGCGGAATTAATAGAATGTCCATAAAAGAAATCATATGTAATTTTGTAGCATCCAAGATCTCTAGGACACGAACCATAAGTTAAATTTGGGATTTCATTATATTATGGTAAATACTTCCCCGGGGTGTTTCCACCAAACCATATTAATACATGATGATCAAGTGATATAATGAGATAAAAATGCATACTATAATTCATCATAGTTAAGTGCTAAGTGCTTGAGGTCCATATAGAAGACATATGTAATATATTTATTAGTTTAGCATAAACACCCGGTGTAGGATAAGTTTTTACAAGAAGATCTTAGTCTATGCAACACAAGCACATAGAAGAAAGCCAAAACTAGAACATCCAACATTCTCAAGCATACAGACACAAAAAAACGATCATTATTGTGGGTTTTTATTCTAAAAAAAGTGGCTTTATGGAAAAATAGACGGACCTTCAATTGCATCACAAAAGAAAGGATCACTACATTATTTGGAGAAATTCATGATAAATGTAGTTACAAAGATGAGTGTATAGGCAGAAATAAAAGATCAACCGCGCAATTGCAGAAATAGAAAATTTAGAACTACATAAAATACATACTTAAGTGCTTAAGATAAAAAGCTTGATTTATAGTCAATTCATTGATTGAAATCAAAGAGAGTTCAACACCAAACGTTCATACCATAACTGGAAATTATTATTCACAAATAGAAACAAAAGAGAGCAAGTCTTATCGACTCTCTCCTTCGACACAAGAAAACACTAGTTCATGAAAATCAAACAAACTCCAAACAGACCCAAGACACAGACACTACCAGCACCACTGACAGACACATCAGAAACCACCACGGAGACGGAGGACAAGGTGCAGAGTTGACTCCTTCTGAATATTATAATCAGCCAGAGTCCTTCCATCTTCCAATTGCTTCCCAGCAAAAATCAGCCTCTGCTGATCCGGCGGGATACCCTCCTTGTCCTGAATCTTAGCCTTCACATTGTCGATCGTATCAGAACTCTCCACCTCCAAGGTGATGGTTTTCCCCGTCAAAGTCTTCACGAAAATCTGCATCCCACCACGAAGACGAAGCACAAGGTGCAAAGTCGACTCCTTCTGAATGTTGTAATCAGCAAGAGTACGACCATCTTCCAACTGCTTACCAGCAAAGATCAGCCTTTGCTGATCTGGTGGGATACCCTCCTTATCCTGGATCTTAGCCTTAACGTTGTCGATAGTATCTGAGCTTTCAACCTCAAGAGTGATGGTTTTCCCAGTCAAAGTCTTCACAAAAATCTGCATTCCACCACGAAGACGGAGCACCAAATGAAGGGTGGACTCCTTCTGAATATTGTAATCAGCTAAAGTCCTTCCATCTTCCAACTGTTTACCAGCAAAGATCAACCTCTGCTGATCTGGTGGGATTCCCTCCTTGTCCTGAATCTTAGCCTTGACGTTGTCAATTGTGTCGGAGCTTTCGACTTCAAGGGTGATTGTTTTCCCGGTCAACGTCTTCACAAAAATCTGCATCCCACCACGAAGTCGAAGGACCAAGTGAAGGGTAGACTCCTTCTGGATGTTGTAATCAGCTAGGGTTCTGCCGTCTTCGAGCTGCTTTCCGGCAAAGATCAACCTCTGCTGGTCCGGTGGGATTCCTTCCTTATCCTGAATCTTAGCCTTAACGTTGTCAATAGTGTCGGAGCTTTCAACCTCAAGGGTGATTGTTTTCCCAGTTAGGGTTTTGACGAAGATCTGCATACCGCCACGAAGACGGAGCACCAAGTGAAGGGTCGACTCCTTCTGGATGTTGTAGTCGGCTAGGGTTCTGCCGTCTTCGAGCTGCTTTCCGGCGAAGATCAACCTCTGCTGGTCCGGCGGGATTCCTTCCTTATCCTGAATCTTAGCCTTGACGTTGTCAATTGTGTCGGAGCTTTCAACCTCAAGGGTTATCGTCTTTCCAGTTAGGGTTTTGACGAAGATCTGCATCTGTATATACAGAAAAGGTTTCAATCATCAAAATAACTCACAAAATTCTAACTTTGTGCGAATACAAATCAATGAACAAAACTAATATCGATTTTTTACTGTATACATAAAAATCAACCAAATTAGCACACAGATTCAGCTCCATTCATATATATAAACTACAAAAGGGATACAATAAAATCAATATAGAATTTTTTAACTGTATACATAGCAATAACAAATTCAACCTGGTAACACAAAATCAAGGTTGATTTTTTTTTTCTCAGCAAAGGATATTTCAGATCTTAAAATATAGACACAACAAAATAAACGTACAAAAATTTCAACTTAGTGCATATACAGAGGGATTAAACAAATCAAAATTGAGTTTTTTAGATCCTAAAAATTTAGATCCAAATTAAATAAAAGTAGCATAAAATAAGAGGAACAAAAAGAAGAATGAAGAAATTAATGTACCTTGAAAGGTGTTTGAAGGAAGAGAGAAAAGTTGAGGAGATTTTGAGAATTCAGAAATCAAAGGATGAAGATTATGGGCACAAAGGGGCTCCTTTTAAAGGTGCAATGGCCGACTTTAGACGAAATTGCCTCATGGATTATCCTATAGTAAAGCAACACGTGTCTTGCTTATTTTGTACAGCACCAAACCTACACGCTATTGCTACCTTGTCCTTTCCTTTGAGCGGTGGAGAAAATTAGGTGCCTTTTGGATAGCAACTTCCTACATTACATTATTATTATTATTATCGTCAAAGGTACGACGTACAAAGTATTTCATATTTATGCTAGATCGGAAAAAGAACACATCCCATAAAGTTTAATGTATGTAGCTTACCTAAATACAAATATTATCGGTTGATTCTACGTTCATATACGTGATTTATAGATCACACAAAGATAATTTTTACGGTTGATTTTTAGTCGCACCCAACTTGCAATCACACGAATACAATTTTACTATCGATCTAGGCTTTCCTTCCTTTATGGTCAAGGAGAAAAATATTATTATTAAGAGCTTGTTTAGATTGTTGTTACATGTCGTTTCATAACTTATTGTATTCTATTGTATTGTACCATACTGTATTATTTGATGAATATAATATTTGAATAGATTGTATTGTTTGTCTTCATTTCATGATGTCACGCATCAACAATATGTACAACAAATATTGCAATATAACTAAGAAAAAATAGGATATGGAGTAGCTTTTTTATATAAAAGAGTAGTGTAAAGGATAAAATATGATAATTTAATAATAAGGAGGAGCAAGATGAGAGAAAAGGGCAAGGTAACGACGCCACCACACCAAATTCGTCGCTCTATAAGGTGACACTTTTCTCGTTACGTAATAACGGATTAACGATACGATACAATAAAATTTAAGTAACAATCAAAACAAAAATTGTATTTAAAGCAACAATACGATATAATACAATAGATAACAGCCATCCAAACATGCCGTAAGTTCAAAAGAAATAATCTAAATATCTCATTTTTAATATAATGCAATTATTGGAGGGAAAAAGTAAGTTAATAAAAATATCTTTGCACAGTTTTTTAGAGTCCAAATATTTCATTTTCAATGATCTTCACATTCAATGGTGACATGATGATGCTACCCTCCTTTTACAACAAATTTATTGTATTTACCTAGATTTTCATATTAGTCATCCGTTCCAAAAAAAAAAAAAAGAAATCTATTTCTGTTCAGATAACTGTCACTTTATTAAAATTAAATGGCATAATACATAAACAAATATGAGAAAATTAAATGGCATAATACAAATTTACGGATAATTTATGTCAATGTTGAGTGTGTATCCAAGTGTTAAGCCTAATTAATTTAAGAATTTAAGTTATATATACAATCAACATACCAAAACGTTTACACTATCTAGTCATCTTTATACATTGTAGCAAATTATCTATCTTATATTAAGAAAATTTATATATAAATATCCTTTGAATAATCTGGTCAAATAAAAAATTGTTTACATTACGGTGGTGTAACCTAAACGCTTTTTAACATAGAGCTATATCAAATTCTTAACATAATAAAAACTCTCTCCACGTGTCAACTCGACCCGAAAAAAGAAAACTGAGATTTAGTTTCCGGGTTTTAATCCAATCGGGCCTAGCCCGTTTACTGCTAAGCCTTAGCATTTCCTTCTACAGTTTTTACTTCAGACGCAATTCGATCGGAAACTAAGCAAATCTCAGAGGCTCACATGGCTCCCGTTGCTCCTAGATCCGGCGACGCTATTTTCGCCAATGTTGAACGCGTGGTATTCTAAAAATCTCGATTTTATTTATTTTTTGTTGAATTCAGTAGTAAATGTTAAACTAATCTTGTGATTTTTTCAACAGAACGCTGAACTTTTCACCCTAACGTACGGTGCGATCGTGAGGCAATTGCTTACCGATCTGGAGGAGGTTGAAGAGGTCAACAAACAGCTTGATCAAATGTAAATCCTTTACCTAGTTCTACTCACAGTTCCAATTTATGTGACTTAGATTGACTCGCTACAGTGTTTAAGAAAAAAAAAAGGAAGATTTTTTTTTAAACTTGCACTCTTAAATATATCATAGTATTTGTGTGGTTATAAAAACGTCTTAGTTTAAAATTAAATTGTTTTTAAATTTTGACAACTGTCATTTTGGAATGGACTAATAAGGAAATAATATCACATAAATTGAAATGGAGGGAGTAGTCTTTTGTTAGTGTTCATAGAATTTTCGGTTGAACTCCACTTATGTGATCCGAAGTCCATATAAATGAGGGGAGTTACGACCGGAGTAATAATGATGAATCCTCTGAATGGATCCCGAGGATTCATATAGCTGACTCTAACCAGGATTGAGGTATCGCTGATATTGATGTTGATTGGAATTAACAGTGGCAATTCAATTTAATTTTATTGGCCAAGAAGTATAAAATAACTTTGAGAGGTTTAACTGAATTGCAGGGGTTATAACATTGGAATTCGGCTCATTGATGAGTTTCTGGCAAAATCTAATGTCTCTAGGTGTATCGATTTCAAGGAAACAGCTGAAGTCATTGCCAAGGTCTCTCTCCCCCTCCAAATTGTATTTCATTTAATTGTGTGTTGGTTTAGTAACGTAGTTACAGTTTTGTTTTGAATAGTAGTTCTGAAATCCTACGCGAGCCAGTAGCCAATACAAAGCAGAAGGAATAATATGGATGTATCAATTTTACAATCGTATTGGAGGTTAATGTGGCAGTAGATTGAATTGAAATAAGATTGAGACAAAAGTTTGAACACAATGCATCTAGTTCTGGAAGCTGCACTATGATGCTTCATGCCAAAATATCCTTATACTCAATTAGTCTTTTAGCAGTCAGACCTGAACAAGAAAGTATAGAGAAAATTTGGTCATGTTGTTTGTACCCACTTGGAGTCTCTATACAACTGAATAACCTCTTCTTTATTTCCTCTATCAAAGGGGGTCATGATGGTACGTTAAGTGAAAAGAAAATGCATAACAGAATATCTAAATTGTACAAAAAATAGATCTTCACTTTTGCAAGTATCTATATGGTGCAGAAGCAAAGAGATGATCAGATTAGCAAAGAAGATGTAAACACACAGCATAGCACGTTGTTTTTTTTTCTTTTTGAAGACCATTTTTCTTCATTCTTTTCGAAGTTGAGAAATATAATTAACCAGAACAAATGTAAAAAGCAATGGGAGCAAGGGAGGGGGGAGGGATGGAGACGATCTGAGGGGAGGGTTTCCTAGAGGGAGTGTGGGAGGGCCACGCATTTTCTCTAGGGTTCTACAGAAGAAGAAAAGAAGAGAGAAAAGATGGAGATAGGGTAAATAGAAAATGAGAGAAAGGCTGTTCGTTCTTTTCCCCTTGTTTAGAGGGATTGTTATTACCCCTAGGATATGATAATGATGGATTTTTAGATAAATTTTATTCCTAGCTAATTCTTGACATAGTGAACGCCTAGTAAGGCTGGATAAGTTTTCTGGACCTCAATACGTTCCAAATGTATTACTATGTGTGTCACCAGCAACGTTCCCTTTACACTTTGCTTTGCAATAGAAGATTGACGGTGTGCATGTCTACAAACACACATACATACATACATACATAAAGTATGCAGCAGGAGGTAGTAATTGCTTCTATTTCTAGCTCCTCTTAGCTTCATTCTGTGGGGAAGTTTGTCTTTCGGGTGTTTGAGTAAGTTGGGAATAAACCTCCTAGTTGATTTCTGGGTTGAGCAGAGTATATTGTAGTTTCACTGCCAGTATTCATGGTAGTGAGCAGAATATCCAGTTGTTCTACTTATAAAATAAAAGGAAAAAGAATATCGTGTTGTTTCTATGTCATATGTTTAGCTGAGCATCTCAGCCTATAACTACCCATCATATTCTCAAGTTCATTTTCTTTATAGTACACTCTTAGTTAATCTTTCTTTTAAAAAGTCTATGCTGAAATTCTTGATTTAAGAAACATGATTTCTTGCTGCTCGTAATGAACAGGTTGGTCTCAAAATGTTCCTTGGTGTCACAGCAACTGTGGGCAACTGGGATGCTGAGGGAACAACGTGCAGTTTGATTTTGGAGGACAACCCCTTGGTAGACTTTGTTGAGCTTCCCGATACTTGTCAAGGTCTATATTACTGTAACATCTTAAGTGGAGTAATCAGAGGAGCATTAGAGATGGTGAGCTTCACCCTTCTATAGCATCTGCTAATTATCAATGTCTTCTTGTGCACAATATACATTGCTTTGTGATAGAAGAAGAAAGCTGTTATAGATGTAGACATACGCACGTCCTGATTTACTGTCAAGTTATAGTAGATGTCACCAAAGCCCTGTCCTTCCGACTGGAATGGTAACTAGCGTGCAAATGAAAGGGTGTTTTTCCCATACGGAAATATTATGGAGTGTTGTTGCGCGCTGTTTCCCTTTTGCTTTCTTTATTCCTCGTCTGTTTCATATCATACTAAACTCAGATGAGTTTTCATTTTCCAATGTTGCAGTCTCCCTCATAATCTATCTTAAATGACTCCCCTTAGTCCATTGGCAATTGTTAGGTTTAGTAGGAGACTTACTGCGGGATATGAGAAGCAAATATGTACTCTTTAATCTCCCGCATTAAGGGTGGACCAGTATTAAGAACAGATGAAATTGGGAGTGTTGCATATATATTAGCTATTTTTTGGAACACCAAATTTATCTGCATTTGCCCCATGTTCAGGTGTCAATGAAAACAGAAGTCACATGGATCCGTGATATGCTTAGAGGGGATGATGCATTCGAGTTGCAGCTGAAACTTCTGAAGCAAGTTCCTGAGGAGTATCCATACAAAGATGACGAGTAACAGCTGAAACTTACAAATTTTGTATTGTTTCTTTTTTCGGTCTTAAAGCATTTTGTGCTTCCTCTCTATGTGATCTAGAAATATTAAGCTCCCTAAACCCTCCATTGTGATAAGACATTTCTTTGTAGTGTTACACTGTTACTTATGATGTTAATGATTAGCTATCCAGAATATCTATATTCATCCTCTTGCGCCTCTTAAGTTTTTTTTTTCTTCTGCTTTTTCCTTTTGTGAGTCCGACTCCCATTGGTGTTTTAGAGGATCTATTTTAATTTTCCAAGTACTCATTGAAGTTGAGAATCTGGTCCGAAGAAAAGAATTTACACTCTCTTTAGACATTGTTGAGCAGCAGTACACAGGTGCATGGCTAGATTTTCTGGGAGTGTCATGCCTTACACATGCTACTTTTTATTTGTTTGCAGCTGCATTGGTGGGTAAATTGTTTTGAATATTGTCTTGAAATTTCTTGTAGAGTTGGTCTTAAACCAATGAGGTGCAAGATATGTGTAGAAAGAAACATATTGTATGAATGTGCATGAATATTTACTCTATATGTACCAAAATATGAATATTTACTATTTACTATTGAATCTGAGTCCAAGATCCATATGTACACTAGTTTTAAATTTTTGTCATAAAAAAAATTCTATAGTTTCTATTCTGTAGTCCGTGGCTCGTAATTGAGATCTTACAAATGCTTTCTTGACTTTTAACCTATGTTACTTGGACTCTCCAAAAATGTTGTCGCACCTGTGTCAGATTTTCCAAAAAATGCACTACTTTTGGAGAACTGGCACACCCGGTGACATTTTTGAAGAGTCCAGGCAATATAGCTTATAACATTCGCACTTAATTTCCCGAATCTGAGGTATATCATTTGTTTTGTAGTATTGCATATTCGAACGGGACGTTTGGTCAAACAGATAAGTGTAGCATTGCCAAAGTTTAAACAAGGCAGTGCATTTATTCAAATTTCCAGTTCTGAACTTAAGTGGTTTTTCCATTTGTCCTATATATGTATGTATTTATCTTTGTAATATCTCTGGAATTGTGTTAAGCAGATAACGATTCACATATCTCTGTGTTATATTTGGCGCACAATTATTTGCAGACTTTCGGGAAGTATTCGAATAGTTACATTAAATTTTGTGCACAAATAGCTGCTTCTTGGACCTCTATTTAAGACATAGCTGAGATTTACAAAGTATTTAAAATTTAGCCGCTTCATTATCAAAAGTTCAAACCTCGTGTCACGGGTTTTAAGTTTCAAAATTCAGACCTTAGGGGTCTAAAGTTTGAACTCTAAAACTCTTAAACTCAAACTTCATACCTGGTTTGAAGTTAGGTTCTGGCATTCAAAATTTTAGATCCAAAGGTCCAAAGGAGGAGGAGAAAGAGGAGCAGTCTGAGGTTTTCTAAATCTGGTTAAACTGTAAATAGGTTTTAAAAATTGGCTAATGTTTAAATAGCATATGTAAAAGCAGTCATTTTGTGCTATTTCTACAATTCGTGCCTTTTTTTTTCTCTTTTTTGATTACAATGATGTTCAGATTAATTAGCACGGATATTGATTATTTCATACTTTATATCATCATAATATCAGATAACTATGTCCTTAAGGTTGAGGCAAAAAAAAATCTTTTGATTTCTTAAAATCACACAAGACACAAATGAAATCAGAGCTTCGGACGGTTGGAGCATGACTTCTTTAAGTAAAAAAACTTGAATAACCTTAACTTTCTGAAAGGAATCATCATTTTCTATTAGGAACGCTATGTTATTTTCAACTTTCTTTTAATTGTTGCATTTTTATTTTGATCCTTCTTTTTTGTATTTTATTGTAATCTATTGGAACAAACTAGATTAATATCTCCTATTTAGCTCATTTCATTGTTACTCCGTTCTTACTTCTTACCAATATTTCTATTTGGTTCGAGTGATATTAGTTATCTATCTGTTAACAATAAAAAAATTTATTAAGCTTTGCAGAAGTTTCTTTCTGTCTAACAAAATTGTTTTCTTGTACCCAAGATATATATCTACATAGAATGGTAGAGATTTCATGTTGAAGACGTAACAGATAAACCTATAAAAACAATCAAATAAAGCTAATCTTTACTTGAAGCCAAACTTGAATTGAAAACCAGAAACCAATAAGAAGACACCATATGCCCTAAACTTGTACCGGAACTAGCAAATCAATAGGGAACTTTTACTTGGTATACTATAATAAGGACTTTATTACGAATTTTTTATAAATTTAATTGTTTTTAATAAATACCCTACGTTTTTAATAATTTATATACAATTAGTATATTAGCTTTCCAAGCCCGTAGGATATTCCTTTAATACCACCATGATATGGCGATCAGTTACAACCAAAAATATGAGATTCATCTACCTTAAAATCTCTTGATCGTCGTCCAGAATCTCCTTTTCCTACCATTAACAATAGCTCTGTGAAATCCAAATAGCATCGATTAAATCGGTATTTTGCTATAATTGAAGAACAAAATTCGATTGGAGGAAAAAAAATCATTGTCATTGTGATACAATTTTGAAGTTCGATATTGACTAGGCTTCTAATTCAAAGCCTGATAGAGATTCAAATGGCGGCTATGGCAATCATGCTTCAACACTCAGGCCGATGGGATATTACTGGTCAATATGTCGATTTTAATGTCGACGGAGTTGTAATCAACAAAGAGGCAAGATATGACGAGTTAATTTCAGTCATTGCTCGGTAATTATCTATAGATACCTCTGGTGAAATAATAGATATCAAATATAGAGTCAATGACATGTGCCCTCCATGAAAATTCACGGGGCTACGAGTGTATATAGAAACGAAAAGGAAATACAAGGAGTTCAGAATGTAGTCATTATGTATAACACTGAAGGAATTTGTACTGGATTGGAATACGACAAACGAGAATAACATTGCAGGATCTTCTGAAAATGCACAAAATAGCCTGCTACAATTATCATACAATGTTGATACATTTACCGGTGTTTCCGAGAAAGTACAGTTGCTTGAGGTGGATGCATGTGATGACATTGGTGATTGTCAGTGTTTAATAGTATCAGACACATTACCTAAAAGTATTGAGTTTGGTCAGATTTACTGTAGCGACCCGATCGTTCGTTCTGAGAGTTATAGCCACATTTTCCCCATCTATGCTTATTTATATGTTGTTCAGTTGTGTTGAGTTGTATCGAGTTGGTAGGTTTGGGTTCGGAGTAGTTTTGGAGTGAAATGAACACTTAGTCTCTTAATTAGAAAGCTAAGTTAGAAAAGTCAACCGGAAGTTGACTTATGAGTAAAAGAATTCGGATTTGGATTTTTATGATTCGATTAGCTTCGTTGGGTGATTTTAGACTTAGGAGTGTGTCCGGAATATAATTTAGAGGTTCTTAGTAGAATTAGGCTTGAATTGGCAAAAGTTGGAAGTGTAGAAGTTCTTAGGCTTGAATTCGAGGTTGATTTGGTATTTTGGTGTGGTTTTGGGTGTTTCGGAGGTTTGACTAAGTTCGGGTAGTGATATATGACTTGTTGGAATTGTTGGTTGAGGTCCCGAGGGCCTCGGATGAGTTTTGAATAGGTTTGGGTTGTGTTGCGCTCGTTTTTCTTATGTTTCGATGCCGTTTCTTCAAGCATAAATGATATCATATTGAACAAATGAGCTCCGATTTCTTTTTTGATTGAAGCATTAGATCCGTATTGTAATTACGGACCAGTAGCAAAAAGAGTCGTCGAATTTGGATATCGTATGAGGATTTTATGATCATTTTACTAAGAATTAGGTTGCCAGATATTTCAGATTAATTACAAAATTGCCACTGACGGCGTATTTAAAAATCTGCACTATTTGCAAATATTAAAACCTGCATATCTCCTTATTTATCAAATTGAGTGATTCAAAAGCCTAAATTGACTAGAATTTCACAAGGAATCCATGGAGGCATAAAATACGAGTTTCGGGATCGTTGGCACAAGAAACGAGGCAGAATAGCTGGTAGAAAAATATACAAAATTAGGGTTTGTTCATTCGGTCATATTTTGAGTTGGGGAGCTCGGATTTGGGCGATTTTGGAGGCGATTTTCACCATATGGATTGGGGTAAGTGTTCTCTACTCGATTTTGATTATAATTTATGAATTCATCTTCGTTTTTGGGATGATTGATGGTTTCAAAGTGAAATTGAGGGAGTTAAGGTTTGAGTTTTGGAGAGTTTTAAGTGAGGATTTGAGGGACCAAACGGAGTCCGATTTTGACAAATTTTATATGGTTTGACTCGGAGAGGACGAGGATTATTATTCTTCCATTTTTGACTGATTCCGAGACATGGGCCCGGGGGCCGAGTTTTGGCCGATTTCGGATTTTTGGCATGTTTATGTAGTTTTTACTGTGTAATTCGATTCTTTAGACTATTTTGATAGTAGTATTCTGATTATGTTTAGATTCGAAGCTTTTGGAGACCGAGTCGAGGGACGAGGACATCCCGGAGTAGGATTTTACGATGTTGAGGTAAGTAACAGTTTTAACTCTGGCTTTGAGGGTATAAACCCGGAGAAATTGATATCATGTGATTGTTTGGTGGTGATACCCACGCTAGGTGACGGGTGTGTGGGTGTGCACCGCGAGGGATTGAGACTTGGTCCGTCCCGTGAGGCCAGGCCTAAAAGCTATTATCTGTGGTTATGTGTTTACTTGTTGTTGAACTTGTTTGCCTTCATGTTAGAGATCCTGTTTAGGTTTTATTCATGCTCACATTATTTGTACTCAGTCATAGAAATTATTGTACATGTTTACCTCAGTCTCTATTATTTGCTAATATGCTATGATACTTGATGTTGGCTGTGCTCCCTTATTTGTTTATGATGATGAGGCTAGTGAGGTACATGATTGAGTAAGGCCAAGGGCCTAGTTGTGAGGATATTAATACCATAGCGCGTGAGTTGTCCGCGTAGCACGTGAATTGACCGTGCGAGTCCAGGTATTGATACCATAGCGCGTGAGTTGTTCGCGTAGCACGTGAGTTGACCGTGCGGATCCAGGTATTGATATGATGGCACGTGAGTTGTCCGTGCTTAGCGCTTGGGCTTTGGGAGCCCCTCCGGAGTCTGTACACACCCCCAGTGAGCGCAGAGTGTTGAGTGTTGAGTGTGAGTGCTGAGTGATGGAG